AACATATATATATATATATATATATATATATATATATATATATATATATATATATATATGTATGTATGTATGTATGTATGTATGTATGTATGTATGTATGTATGTATGTATGTATGGCCTTCGGCTTTGTTCGGGTATTTTCCCACGTCATAGTAGTTGTTCTTTTAAAGTTGTAGCAACGTTTCAGCAGAATCTCATCTGCCATCATCAGGCTTCTGTATAGTGTTCATCTGTGAGTCAGGCTTTTACAGTGGTTTCAGATTTGAATTTGGGGCAGCTTATTGCTGTGCCAGAATGGTTTTTTCTTCATCCTGATTGGTTGAGAGTCTTGGTCTGTGTTTATTGGTCTTGGAGTTTGCTGTGTTCTGCTTGATTGGTGTCTCTAATATCTTCTGTCTGTTTTTTGGCTCTTTTTGTATCTTGATTGGCTGGCAACATTGTGTTACTTTATTGGAGGTCTTTAGTGCAGCTTGGCTTCGGGTAAATGGACGGCTATCATTAGTTAGGAAGCTGGGTTTCATCTGGGTGCCTGGTTGGGGTGTGTTTGAGCTGGAGGTATCAGGGGGGATCTGTTTGTGCCCAGGTGTTTGCCTGGCTTGTGGTGTGGAGATTTTTTTGTTTGTGAGTGCAGGCTTCCAAATGATTGACAGTCTGGTGGAATCATCTCTTCTGTTCATGCTGGTTTATTGGTTTATTGGTTCCAAGACCAATAAACACAGACCAAGACTCTCAACCAATCAGGATGAAGAAAAAACCATTCTGGCACAGCAATAGGCTGCCCCAAATTTAAATCTGAAACCACTGTAAAAGTCTGACTCACAGACGGACACAATACAGAAGCCTGATGATGGCAGATGAGATTCTGCTGAAACGTTGCTACAACTTTAAAAGCACCACTACTATGACGTGGGAAAATACCCGAACAAAGCCGAATGCCATACATGTAAGTACCCGCGAAAACTTAAGAAAACATATATATATATACATGTAAGTACCCGCGAAAACTTAAGAAAACATATATATATATATATATATATATATATATATATA